TGTTTTATATATATAAAATATGTTTATATATATATATAACATTTTTTCTAAATCTTTGCTTAGCTATATTTTATATATTTTTTAATATTATACTACATTTATATTAAAATAGTGTCGTTAAAGTCTATCACACATCGCATAAAATTCAACCAATAATATTTTGACACATTTATTCCAAATGTGAAGAATATGAAGATTAGAGAGGTTAGATGTAATCTACAAAAATTTTTCCTGAAAAAACACACGAAGAGAATTTTAAACTAGCCAACAGCCCGCCTAATTTCTTGAATAAATCGAGAAATAAAGCGTCACGCCCAGCGAATAAAAATTCAAATTTGCCTACTTTATCTGATCACTTATTTCCTTATCCCATTAGAAAAATCGCTACGAATGGACCGAGTTAAAGGAATGTAAAGTGGAATCTTATAACGGAAGCGAGTCTACATAATGAGAAATAAAAAGCTTCTAGCCGGTGTGAAGAAGCGTCAAGAAATCTGATTTGTCCCATCTCTTTCTGAACAGAATTGTAAAACGATTTCGAATACATCGTGTATTGACCAGTTACAATTTTGTTATTTTTTTTGTTCAATCAATGCAGTCGAATCTTCGACAACTGGACAACGGCCAGATCTTGATTTCGCTTCGAGGAGTACGGTGAATGCTGCCTCGATTTTACACACCGCAAATTCGCCAAAGCTGTTACTTACGAGCAACTTAAAGCAAAAACTGCCGGATTGCTGCCAAAGTGATCAACAGTAAATTTGTAAAAAAAAAAGTCGCGAACTGAATTCCGCACAAGTAAAACGTATACGATAAAGTGATAATCCTTTCTCGTTTGACGACGCGATAAATTTTCACATGAAATTTAAGGTTTGTCAAGAGCTACGTCGTCGAGCTTGAAGTACGTGGTTCTAGACCGAGCTAGTACCTCGAGTCCTCGGAAACAGCCTTGGTATAATAAGAAACTCGAGGCTGAGTAATGTCCAGTTATATTTCTTGGACTTCACGACGGAGCCGAAACTCTTTTAACCTATCTCTCTTCTCTTCTCGACTTTCTTCCTTTTTCTCATGGGGTAACTCGAGTGTTTCGGAGTGGTCTTATAATAGTTGATGGATTGTTAAATCTTTAGTTTATAAGTAATTGTGAATTAAATTAGGGTTACTGAACTTTATATTACTTACCTAAACTTTGTGATTTTTTAAAATTCTTGAGTCCAAAATTAATGGTCAAGTTTAAAAAAGGAAATATTTTTTTAACATAAAAAAACAAAATATTTTTAATCAATAAAATATATATAAAAAAAAGCAAACAAATTTATAAACGTTTCAACCCTTCTTTTTGAGTCCTTATCAATATAAAATCTAAATATAGTAAATTCTAAATTACATAAGTACATAAACCTATTCAAAAATGTATTTAAAGTCGGTGCGATTATCTATTTAAGGTGGTAAAGCACGATAAACTCGCACGTTCTTTCCTATCCAAATGCCAATTTAGATAAAATAAAAATGGTGTCGTATACATTGTATCAATAGTTGAGCCACCTCGTTCACCAAGATATTTTTAAATATTTACACGAGTATAATAAAGATTTTAAGAAAAAGTAGCATTTTGGTCATATTAAGTACACATTTATCTAAATTGGCCACATTGGTTATATACAAACAGTTTCCTCTCTTTTAAAATCTCGTTATGAACGAAACATTGTGAAAATTTAAACAAAATATAGTATTGTAAAATATAACTATAGTGCTGCGATAAAATGAACTCCGAAATAATAATTATTCTTGATAGTTATAGAAAGCAATTATTTACCTTCGAAATATTACATCACGACCACAACGT